GAACACAAGAAGAGAAAGATAAGCTAGAACTGAAGGGTAAGTAAAGTGGCATGTGGGGCCGGGCCCTTCCCTTCCTACAAGCCACAAATTTCTATTTCACCTGGGCAAAAGAAGGGAGGTGCCAGGCAAAACAAACCTACAGCATTCCTGCCTCTTGAAAAGCCTCCTCGCTCACTTCTTGGGGATGGGGCCACCATTTGAATATTTAGACAGCAGTCCAAATTTTTGGAGACCAGGGTGGCATTTCTAACTTATGAATAATAAAAACAACGAGTATGAAACCCACAAAAGTAAAAGAATGACTGAAGGGCCTAAACCACGGATAGAAACTGTAGAGTGTGCAATTTTCATTTCCAACCGATTTACTGTTGTTTTTGTGGGGGGAGGTGATTTTTGTTTTTTTTGTCATGGAGTGACCTGATGAGAGTCTGCAAAAATGAGGACTCCTGTTTTCCTACCTCTGTTGTAAAATTTGTTTGCATGAAATCAGCAAAGCTGCAACTACACATTTAGGGATCTATATGTACAGAATTTTACTACAGATGTTTACTCTATGGAGAGGATAAATTCTGCTACTGCTGCAAATCATGATTACATTCACTTCTAAACAGTGATACTAATGTGAGAGTTGTGGGGAGGAGTAGAGAAGAGAAGATTAAAACATATGTTGTTTTAAAAATATTAAATCCGCCCTCCTGATGCTATCTTACTAGAAGAAACAATCACAGGTTTCAAAGCCTAACCCCAACTAGAGTTTACTCATTAGAAAAGCTATTATAATATGGGTGAGATGCAGCTGTCAGGGTAAAGCTCAAATGTAATGCTTTAAAACATCTTAAACTGAACTCCCTCCTCCTGCTATCCCATTAATGTCGCAGCCTCATCAATAAAGCGAACAAAAGCTACATTTTACTGAAAACTCATTAAGTTGAAGAGAAAGTATATACTAAAAATAAGCACACATTCAGGATTTGTTTAACTTGGTTACCATGCTAAGAAAGGAAAATGTGCTGATTTCCTATATTTATGATTTAAAGTACTTTGTTATTCTCTTTTAGAGTTCTCACAGCCAACCACAGCAGATGAAAATATTCCAAAAAGTAGAGTAAAAAAAATTAAAAAGCAAATCCTTATTTCATTAATACAAAAAACAAACAAACAAACAACCCTACAACTAAGGAACAAAGCTTGATGTGGAGTAACACAGACTTAGCCATCTGTCAAAATTCTTCTAGAGATAGAGAAGTGTGATTTCCATTTGGGGCGGGGGGGGGGGGGTGTTCCAAAATCAAAGTGCTACTGCCCTTATCCCATGTGCTCATCAACTCAGCCACTTTTTTCTTTCCATTTGCCGCAGTGTTTAAGGCCAAGAACTACACAGCACCAAGGAACAGGGACACCTCCTATGACTTGCTCTTTATTAGTACTAGCTTTTATGCACTCCAATCACTCCAATCAAATGTTCTGCATTTTATTGATATCTTTAAAATACAATTCATTTAGATTAAGGGTCCTCAAATGTTTTAAACAGAGGGCCAGTTAATGGTTCCTCAGACTTCTGTGTGGCCTGATGACAGTTTGTTGTTGTTATCTGCCTTCAGACTTAGGATGACCCTAAGACAACCTTCTCACAGAGTTTTCTTGTCAAGATTTATTCAGAAGGGATTTGCCTTGTCTTTGTCTGAGGCTGAGGTAATGTGATTTGCCTAAAGTCATCCAATAGGTTCAGAGTCACAGCCCGAGATTCAAATAACTATAACACATTTTCTGAATTCCTTCCTTCTCGGTTTCCTAGCTTTCTTTCTTTCTTCCTTCCTTTTCTCCCTCCTTCCTTCCATTTGAGGTGCACCATCAAATGTAATGCGCACCTCAATTTTGAAAATGTCCATTGCAAAAAAAGAATCTGTTGTCTAATGTAATGTGAGGCAGGGGTAGCCATGAAAAGGCTAGTGGGAAATCACATCCGTCCATCAAGCCTTCACACTAGCCTTTCGGCAGCCGCTGCTGCCTCTCCCTCCTCCATCCCAATCCAACAGCTCAGATGAGTTAATGTGCACGCTTCCAATGTACCATCAAATATAATATTCACCTCAATCGTAGCAATGTAATTTAGTAAAAAAAAATAAAAATAAAAAGATGCACATTAAATTTTGGTACCCTGCTGTCTAACAGACTTCCTGGCCAAACTCATTGAACTGGTCTCAGAAGTGTTGTGGAATCACCCAGACTTTTGCTTCTGGGTGACTTCAACATACTACTGGAGGAAAGTTTGCAAAGTGCAACTGTAGAGTTCATGGTTTCCATGACACACATGAGCCTATCCTAATTGGTTTCTGGACCTATGCACTCAACAGGTCATATCTTTGATGCAGTTTTCAGCTAGAAACACAATGGATCTGTTTTAACCATGTTGTACCCTACCTTGAGCCATGAGAAAAAGTAGTTAACAAATTATCATTATTATTATTATTATTATGCTACACAGAGAACTGAGGCCAAGGAGGCAACTCAGTAAGTCAGTGAGAAAGATTATATTGAATGTGGGCATTGCTTGTCCATAATTCAACCACCAGGGCAACTTCAGTTCATATTTCCCAGCTTTTACCTCACATTTATATTCTACTGTGTACACTCTGTCGATTAATGTTTATTAAAGGAAATTGTACTACACACAACTCATGTCAGCAACCCTTTATTTTAACAAAATCCAGCATGAAATGGTCAAGAATACTCATCAGAGATTAAAGAAATCTGCTATACAACTCTAAACCTACTTACAACTTACTAGAAGTGGTTGGAAACATGGGAAGTAGATTGACAAATTAAAAGACAATGATTTCATCTTCCTTTCACTAAACCATACATAGCAATGCCCTGAGTCAAATTTCTCACTTCTTACATCTTGTTCAAAAAGCATTGCTATTCTTTATATAGCAAAAGTATTTTGAACAATGATGCCACTATTTTCTCATTCTTTAATGAATACTACACATCAGATTTTATTGAAGGAGAACAAATAGGTTCTTCAAAAATACATCTTACAGCTCTTGCAAATTATCCCAAATTAGTTGCTACAGTTTCAGAATAATAGATAAAAATGAAAATCCATTTATTAAGTACTTTCTAAAATCTTCGACAGTACAAATGAATTATTTATCTCAAATAATGAAAATCTTAAAACGTAGCATTTTAATACTCATTAATAATTTAGGAAAATTGAAATTCTTGCTGTACTCTTTATACAATGCGTACATCCACGATGCGAAGCAGTCTCTATAACAGTGCACTTACAAAAGCACAAAGGCTATTTTAATAGCAAAGTATTTAGCAGACTAAGTGGTTAGCAGAAGGGGTGGCAATTGACAAACTGAAATAAACGTCCTTACCGTTGCAATTGGCCCGTCAACATGATAGTCTAAGCTGAAAACGTCCCAACCCGTATCACCAGGAGACACCTTTAAATATACATAAAACCATTAGAACAAAACTAATTGGTATATATTGTTATTTACTTATTTCTCAATAGGTAGCTGTAATATATGAGCAACTAACTCATAGGAATTAACAATGATCTTGTTAAAATGTTGTTTAACCAACCCATAGATGACAACCTTACTCACCCTGCTTTCTTATTTGTCATAGAAAGCAACTCTTAAACTAAGTAAAGCACAACGCTTATTGACACAGTGTATAGGAGATATTGTGGAAACACTATTTCTGGCGGGGGCAGTCAATATCTATGTTGTGAAACACAGGGAAGGGGTTACATGAACTAAGAAAGCTGAAACGTCTTAAATATTTGGTTAAATTGTATAACATGTTGCCAGCCCCCCCCCGCCCCCCTTCAAATAAATCTAATGTATGGGGTTGACTAATATGGAAGCTGTGGAAGTCATCTTCCCCTACCCATGGACACTAGCTGCCCTATCAAAACTTGAACTAATATTAGTGTTTTCAAAAACCTTTAAAGAAGATGCAGGGCCTCCTGTAACTTATTTTAGAGGACAATCACATCTCTAGAAGCAAACATTGTAGGGAGGCACAATTCTCTGGGAAGAAGGGGGCACTGTGGGCTGTATGACTCTCAACACTACCTTTGGTCCACTGGCAATCAGGAGGACTAACTATATGTAAACCTTTTCAGATTTTCAGTTTTTATTTTTTATCATCACACAAATACAGTAACCTATGCAGCTGTCTACTGGTAATTCAAAATCCAAAATCCACAAAAGAAGAGAGATGTTGATTTCTTGAGAAATTTAATATTCTTTTCTTAATGGTCCTGTGGTTGTACAAATGGGTCCCAAGAGAATTTATTGTAATGCTGCCCACGGAGTTAATTTTTACTGGCCTTTGTCTAAGTCCCCACATGGATAAGGAGAGCAGACTCTACCTGCATTGCGATCCTTCCAAAACAACTGAATTAGAACCTAAACATCATCTGATGTAAAACATCGTCTAAGCCTGTACCACTAACATCATCACTCTACTTCTATATTTTTAAAGGTATTTTTGCTGATGAAGAAGCCAGTGACACTTTGAAAGCCTGCACGAAGTATTTTGTGTCCAATAAAGGTATTTGCTCTTTTGTGGGTTATGTATCTTGTTATATTTTAATGACAGGGAAGACAATCCACAACTCAATATGAAATCTGATACTGTTTCTGGATGCTGACCTTGAAGCCAATATTAGCTACTTTTTAAAAATTAATACACACATTCCCATAAGGCACACCAAAAAAAGCTCAGAACTACCTCCAAAAGTCTGACGTCCAAGCGTTTGAGGATCTCAGGATTATCAAACTGTGCATTTGTTGCCCTGACAGCTAGTTCAAGGATTCCTGTCAAATTATGTTGATATAAAGTGGTTGCTGGCTTCGCAAGCTCTGGCCTGAAATGACAAATATAAAATAAATAATTGTATTCATATCAATTAGTGATTTACAATATTTACATGTTGTTTCCCATCTTCAAATCCTGAACTGGTTTGCAATAACTGCACACAATTGTCTAGTGTTTGTTCAGCTGCAAGAACAATAAATCAAAATAATATATTTTCAACCATATATTAATTATTTCTGAATCACAAACTATCAATATATTGCATATTATGTTCCGAAGTTGTCATGTGAAGGGAACTTCTTTAGTATTTTAAAATATCCATATTTACATATACATACATACTAAGGTATCTTGGAGACATAGCCAAGTGCAAACAGAAAATTCATTTATGTTTCATACACATCTTATACACATAGCCTGAAAGTAATTTTGTACATAATATTTTGAACAAAATGTGTGTACATCCAATTGACAGAAAGCAAAATTGTCACTGTGAACAATTCAGGAGATTCTGAAGTTCTAGATAAGAGATGTTCAACTTGTGTCTCAGGCCCAAGAAATGACTTTAATCAATAGAATACAGCAAATTTGAGGCAATAGTGGTGGTTAGTCCAGATTGAAGGAGTTTTGGGAAATCCAAGTTGAGTATACAAAAACAGTACCAAAAAGAACATAATTTTCTAACTCCTTGGACAGACAGAGTAATTTGCTAAAGGCTGGTTCATGATAGGAACTATTCAACATAGTCAGATTCTTAAATCTTTGGTAACATCGATGTTAAATCAAACTTTAAAATAAACTTTGTTGAAACATGATGAAAACAACAGCTTTTACTACATACGCAGTTCTATCTCCACAATTTTATTGGCTCTTTGCTTAGATTAGTAGAACCCATGGCCTGTTTTTATTCCACATCTATACCTAGTTAATGGATGGAAAAAAGGAAGCAGGAAAAAGTGCCTATATTTTTCAGGTGAAAGCAGAATTGGAATAAGGGGTAATTGGTAACAGGGGCTGAATCTTCACTAGTTCTCAACAAGATGCCTTTTCATAATCTACAATCATAACAATGATTCCACTTTCAAAATCACAGCCACATCCTAAGAAATTCTAAAGTATCTGCAGTAGTTTGATGAGGCATTTACAGTAAGTCCTCTGTTTGAGAAATCCTAATCCTTTCCCTTAACTGCAAAAACAAGGATCCCACACATTCATTGCCACAGTGGTTAAAATAGAATCAGAGCATTATAATGGCATAATGTCAAGTGGTGGTGAAATTAGCAGTACTATCCCCAACACCACAAATCTACATTAATAAACATGGCTGATTTAGGGCAACACAGAGAAAGCACTTCCACACTGCCACCAATTATTGTTTTGGAGAAAGGGTATAACAATGATAAGAGACTACCCGTGCAATTGAAAGACACTGTTTAAACCAGGGGTGGAGCCTATAAAGCCCAAGACACACACACACCCCTTTACACTAATTAACCAGAGTAGTTAATCTGGTCTGAAATCAGTGACAAATTTGAAGAAATGATTAGCCAAAGGGGGAGTAAAGAAGGAAAAGAAAGAACAAAAGGTATAACAAGTGATATCTACAAAATACTGCTGGAAGGAGTCCAGAAGGAGGACCACCTTAAAAGAATGTGGGAATTAGATTGCAATAAAGTAATACACCCACAAAACTGGAAAGGAATGTGGAATATGCGTATATTAAAAAATATGTCAATAAGAATAAAAGAGAACTATTACAAAGTGGTGTGGAGATGGTACCTCACACCAGTCAGATTAAATCAAATTGACAAGAAACATTCTAAGCAGTGCTGGAGGGGCTGTCAAGAAACTGGCACATATATACACATGTGATGGTCTTGCAAATATGTTCAAAAATTTTGGGAAAATGTATTTCAAGAAATAAGAAGAATCACCCAAATAGAGATAACAGGAACACCGGAGATAGCACTGCTGTCATTTGTTGACAATGTTAAAATACCAAAAGAACTAAAAGAATTAATTGCCAATCTGGTAACAGCAGCAAGATTATTAATAGCTAAAAAATGGAAAGAAGGAGGGGAGTGCCAATTGGATGAGTGGTATAGGGAGATCTGGGACATAAACGATAAACTGACAGGAAACATTAAGGTTAAAAAAGGACTATCAAAAAAAGATGATTTTGGGAAGATTTGGGGAAAATTGATAGAATATGTATATATAGAAGGTAAGGGGACCAAACCTGTAATAGAAACAACTGATTTTTGGGAATAAGTATTGTAATTGGCTGGTCGGGGGTGAAGGGTTAGCACTGGGTGATTGGATGTAATGAAACAGGAGAATGGAATATTATAGGTATCAAGACATACATGTTCTGTACAATTGTTAATGCGAAGTGATAAGTATAAGAATGTTTAAATACTGAATATGTTCAAGCTACAATAAATAAAATTAAAAAAATAATTAAAATGAAATCAGTGACAGGATAACATAATAACAAATGTGCCAACACTACAGTTAAATCTGTATTATAATACAGCACGTCACAGTTGGATGAAAAGCTAAACACAATTCTGCTATGGATCTCGAGCTTCAGCTCCAGTAATAAATAAGACTAAAATCAGGATACTTACTTAAGCAAGTCCATTAAATGCCTAATAAAATCTCCTTGACCGAGAAGTAAGTAGCGCCTCATGGCTTGCATGTGCTCTAGTAAATTGTATTTTTTATTGAGAACATCAAGCAAGTATTTGCTGGTCTCAAAATATGCCGCATCTATTTTTTCCTGAAATGCATTTTCCAAATCTGTGAACATTTCAACAGCTGTTATAAATAAAACAAAAAAACAAAAATTATTAACACCGGAAATGTGTGTTCCTCAATATTGTTCTGAAATGCAAAACACGAAAATTATCAAGATTCAACACTCAATCTGAGCTCTATAAAATCAACTCAGCACTTTCAAGTAATGTAATCATTGCTTGGTTAGGCAGTGAAGAGGATACCAATGTGACTTACATGCAGATTTTCTAATCTAAATATCATCCCCTTAAATGAATAAAATATTTGGCAACATATAGGCTTCAGTAACAATTTCATATTCTTGAACCATCTCCATAAATATTGCAATGACAAATTTCCTCTGTATAACTGGTGACAAGAAATCCCTAAGATAGGATCGCCTTTAGTTGGAATCAACTATAAAACACATCTAGACAATCTCTCTTGAAGATTTGGGATAGATTTGTGAACAACTATGGCCCTGGATGTGGCTGCACCCACTCTGAAAGACATTCTGTGTTCAGTGTAAACACCCGAGACCATATCCTGCAAAACCCAGATGCTTGGATTTTGTATTCCATGTAATGATTACAAACTACTACAATTTACAATTTACAAGATCATCAATTTAAGAAACAAAGCTGCAATGGGACTTTTATGTAGAGAGGTGAGCATCATGATTATTACCTTGATGGTCAGCTCTATATAACAAAAATATTGCATTGCATGAAACTTTTTTGTTCCGCACATTACTACATTAATCTTATTCTAACTTCATACCATCCTTTGGAGAGTCTGTTGATTTGGCCACAGCTATCATCTTTGATGATGGACTTTGGTCATGACAAACCTGATGCAAGAAGTTTATGGATTTCCCTATTAGCAGAACCTAAACATAAATTTAAGGCATTGTCAGAAGTTATTACAGAAAAGAATTTAAAAGTAGAAAAAAAATAAGCAAGTAGATATCAGTTACTACTGACAAAGCCTAAAATCAAATGAAGAAAAGAAAAAGAAAAAAACACTTGCTGATGACTAATACTGCTTCCTGTAGCACACCCCAGGCAGACATTCAACTAACTCTTCATATCGAGATGAACTGCCATATACTTCTTCCATACTAAACCATACATTTGAAATATTCTGCACCACAAATGATGACATAAGACTGACTGATAGGCTAGAAACTCATATAATTTAACACAGCTACGATGGGTGTCCATAGTAAACACAACACATGGAATATCAAACTCTAATTAATAGTGAGTTTCAGTCCTCATAAATTGCAAGTATCACCTAGTCATTTATTACAAGGAAAGGGATATTTGTGTGTGGTTTTTAAAAAACATCCCTGTGCTTTGTCTTTACAACATTACTGTACAAGCCAAAAGCCAAGTTTGTGTTGAATTTAACTGGCATAATTGAGAATACTCTGTAAACCTGTATGTTAATTATATAAATCACTGTAAAACTCAAATTTACAATAATATGAAAAGGCAATTTTCCTCCGTACCTTTCTTGAGTGATCCATTGTAATAAAAGAAGGGATCATTGATTTTCGCAATGTGTATTTGTCATGCCATAACCGATCTGTTTTCACTGTGGGGTCAGAAGCTACAAAAAACTGAGGAAAATGTAAAATACTTACTTAAAAAAAAGGATATACATCATGCACATTTAATCATACATTCTTACATAAAACAATATGCTATACCTGACAAACCTCCTCTGAATAAATGTTGCTTAGAAACCCCCTGACAAAACCTTAGGTTCACCGTAAGATGGAAACCACTTGAACGCACATAAGACTTTAATATAAAATACACAATTTGGGTTCGTTTCCAAATTTCACATCTGACTTACTCTTTATGTTGATGTTTAGGCCCCACCCCCCATTTGGAAAAGCCAGCCAATATTGTTTATGGTTTTGGACTACCAGAGGTCTTAACCCTACTAAGAAAGCAATGGGTCTCCCCCGGTCATCCTAGTGGCATATTACAAAATGATTTGACAGAAGATTCTCACTAGGAATGTGTGAATTCTTTGAATATATCTCAGACTATGACAACTATAAACACTACATTTCTGCTATGGTAAGACAATTACATTTACCATAAATTCCATAAGCTCAGGTTTAAAAGTTTAAAAGTTACTAGTTCTAAGAGGATGGACAATAACATTTTTGAGACTATCTCAAATAATCAATAATGTTCATTTTAAAAAGACTATTGAAAACAGAGTAAAGAAGCAGACCTCTTCAAACAATATTCCCACTTTAAGCATCTATACACAGCGGGTTGAAACCGATTTAGTTATATTAGACTCGCTGAAATGCAATGAATTCTACACACCTTTTACACTGCCATATAATCCAGATTATCAAAGCAGATAATCTACGTTATCATCTTTGAACTGGATTATATGAGTCTATACTGTCATATAATCCAGTTCACACCAGATAATTTGGATTTTATATGGCAGTGTAGAAGGGGATTAAGTATACATTTTAAAAACATGGCAATCACACAGGAGTACAACATTATCTCTTTCTTTCAAGTGTTATCCAGTCTTAATGTGTAGATATAATATACACATTTAAGCATCAGTCTCTAAAATTTATTAAAGAAAATCCCCTTAGTAACTGGCATACAGCCATTATTAGAGCACAGTATTAATATGAAAATATAATTTTAAAATCCATCAGACAATCCATTCATCTTTAGGAGTTATAAAAAGCCCTCATTTGGTAAAGAGGGCAAAGCAACATGCAATTAATGTGTTTAGAAAACATCTACTAGAAAACACAAAGAATGAGAAGAGCATTTTATAATTAATGCTATGAAAAAGAGATCCTGGGAAGGGTGAACGAAATCAAGGTCAAAACATAATTGCAATATAATTATTTTATTGATTCGCTTTACCTATTCAAGGTTCTTTGAGAGGTTTTTTAAAAAGATAGCCAATGCAGAAACAACCTCAAGAGAAATGGGAAATGATGGTACAATTTAACTGATGAATAAATGCCAAGGCCTTCCTTCCAAACAACAAATAAAAAGGTTGATTTTCTTAGGAAAAAATTAAGAACCTGTTTACAAAAATAATCAGTATCCCAGAAGAGAGCTTTTGCAGTTTGATTGGGAATAACACATTTTCATTTGCCCTAATGCAATTAACCCCTCTTTCCCCACAAAATCACAATACGGTAAGTCTAATGTAAGTATCATATTTGCTGGAATAATTTCACTACCACACAGGGTTCTTGGGATGCTCACCTTATGGAATTTGGACACCTGATGGAAGTTTATTTTACTAATAAATGTTCCAAAGATGTTTGGGAAAGAGATGCTCTCTTGGATGAAGCAGTAAAAATAAAGTGGAAACTAACAGTTTATATAACTCACTTCATGGTATGTGTCCTCCAGTTCACCATCATAAATCCAACGATAAAGAAAATTCAAGATCGGATGTGATACTAGACCAAGAATATGCTGCACCAGGGATCGCCCATAGGGGTCACCTGCTTTACTGTAGGCATGAACAGCGGATGCGAGTTCACCACCTTTTCTTCCTGGAGATACAGCATACAAAGAAGAATTTCATCATACATTCACCCTCCCCTAGTTAAAAAACCAATACTTCATTTGTGAATTTGTCACAAGCCACAATTCATCCTAAAGTAGCTGTTACTTGAAAAATGACATACATTTAGCATGCAGGGATGTTTTTTTCCTGTGTCAGGAGCAACTTGAGAAACTGTAACTGTAAGAGAACTGGGCATCTGCAAGGGTGTTGCCCAGGGGACACTCAAGTGTTTTACCATCCTGTGGGAAGCTTCTCTCATGTCCCCGCATGAGAAGCTGGAGCTGACAGACGGGCACTCAACCCACTCCCCGGATTCAAACTGCCAACTGTTCAGTCAGCAGTCCTGCCGGCACAAGGATTTAACCCACTGCACCATCGGGGCCTCATTAGGAATTCCTAAGACTTTAATTATGACCACAAGACTCTAGTGATGTCTCTACGAGCAGAACTAGTTTTAGCCAAAGCAGCATTGTACTTACTGGACAAATGCTATCATTACAGATCTCAAAACCTAAGCACACTAATTTCCAGAAAATCATATAAAGACCAGGATTAATTAACATTCCAGCCCCTTTTGACATTGATTCTATGTTGTGGAAGCAAGCCATTCCAGGTTTCCAAACAAACCAATGTCTCACTTCTCTCATCAGCAGTCATAATATATAGACAGGTTACTGTGATTAAGACCAACAGGTGAAGGGCAGTAAACAGTCAGACCCACAACCTACTATCAATCTATTAAACCATATTAAGGAATCAAGAGCACTGTAATATTCACTCCTCAAGCATCCATCTTTACCATTTTAACCAAAAACTAAAATACCCGTCAATCAGTAATACAGACAAACAGGTACAGTTTAACAAGGTAATCTCAGATTAAACACAGGTTCTCTTTAACATCAAAAAGGACTTGAACACACACAACAGTATTTCCAGCTACAAAGACAAATAGGATGTCGAAAAGGTACATCAGATTTCTTGAAAGCCACTGGAATCTGTACCCCCAATTTCATTTCTCCACAAAATATGTCAACTCTAAGCATTTTGCAGGCCCTGAAGAATGACTCTGTGGTATTCTTGGGCTGAAGGTTCTTCATCTCAATAAAGTTCGATATTATCCACAATGTCACAAAACTACATGAAATCCAGAAACATATTCCCTGTAGACATGCGAGTCATACTGTATATCTGAGGGCAAATTTCATCCAGTTCAGATGTCCCCGCTCCCACACACTATTGCTTAGTGTTTGTCTAATGACGTAGTAAGCAATTCCTATAGTATCAGTACTATCTTAGCAAACATTTTCATCCCAGTTGTAGCTGTAAATATTCTGCTGTCAAACCTTGACAATGATCAACAAGTGCTGCAAGCATCTTCAATCTTATCTTAGGGTCATACGTCCAAACTAAGAGCCGGCGAAGTGTTAAACTGCTCTCAATCCCCAAATTTACACCTTGATCATCTTCTACTTGCAACTAAGAAGAAGAAAGAAGCAAAACAAAATTCAGGACAATCATATACAAGCCCATGAGGATATTCCACTGAACTATAGAAACATCTAGGAAAGCAGACTCTCAATTTTTTCCTCTAATATGAGCATTATAAATATATAAATGCCTAGTAAGTTTTAAGTTTTAGAGCAGTATTACCGATGAAATTCTGGAAAGCGTACAAATAAAAAAGAGTAATTTGAAGTACTTTATTTTTAAAAGAAATACATGAAATGGTATGCAAGAGAAATACTGTGTTATGAATTTTATGACAAAATTGCTTTAACAGTGTTTCTGTAAAATTGATTTTCAAATTGTTCCCACATGCATCTCCTGTATGTTAGATTACATAGGCTTGCACATGAATTGTATTAACTTACAGACATGCCTATCCAAATATGAATAATTTATTATGCATACTTAGATGTTGGCATGGAAAACTGTGGAAAACTAAGGGTTGTGCTAGCAATGTAGGATAACTTGTGGAGGCTACACTTCCCAATCTGTCCATTCTTTTAAAAAAAAAATCTCTTTTTTTGTCCATAAAAACTTCTCTAAATGATGCTTTGAGACTTTTCACACTTGTTTTACTTGCCTGGACCAATTAGGGATAGGAGAGACTTTTTAACAACAGGAAGTTAGCAGTATTCACTTCTTGTTCACTTCCTGTTTCAGAAAAGCTTGTTCCTAGGACTAAATTGTTCCAAGTAAGCAAAAACTGTGGCCAAAAAGCCTTCCACACCACTTTGGGGACATTTGTGGACATTTTGTGGACATAATCTTTTTAAATTGTTATTATGCATTGTCTTTATGTTCAAATGCACTTTAATGTTTTGCTTTATTAATGTATGTATTTTTATGGCATCGAATTGTGCCGTCTGTGTATACCACCCTGAGTTGCCTCCGGGCTGATATGGGTGAGATAGAAATAAAATAAATAAATAAATTTTGGAATATTGTTTTAAAAAACCATGAGAGGCCCTATAGCCTGAAAGGGTAGGTGGGCAAGAAATCCTGATACCACAAATGGGAGGCTATGAGGTTTGATGGCATATTTTATTAACTTAGCGGCATCATGCAAGAAAAAGAAATATGTGTTTACCTGTGAATGTAAAACAGATAATAACCTGTAGTATTCTTTGAGTTCCTGATTTAAGGCAGCACAAAAACTCTGTAAAACAAAAACAACAGGAATCAATGTAGTTCATATACACCAGCAACATTCCAGGAGACTTGGCTTGTAGACAAGCAACTGATTTCAAGTCTTTGAGCAACGTCACAGTAGGTAAGGTTTTGACATTCGGCAAGCTGACAAAAACACTCTGATCTGCAGGTTAGGCATCAGTTCAAAAGTGCAAACACTCATTGAATACAACTTGGATTGTCTCTCGTAAATAAAAGAATTGAAGATTTAGGATAACATTTGTCAGTTTTGTGAGTGATACCCAGACTTATGCATTAAAGACATGCAAGTCATGATAAACTCATATTTAGTTCACAAACAAAATAAAATGGCACAAAGTCATCAAGAACAAAATACTAGCAATTAGCAATAGTTTTATGTTGATTAAAATTGACTCATACTTTAAAAATACTACAGTTTGACAGCTGCATCACAAAATCATAATATCAAATAATTAGAAAACGTAACAATTGAAATTTTCTAATTAAACCCACTGCCAAAGTACAATGTTTAGAAGATTTGGGGAGAGTCTGGGGTTGGATAAGGAGAAGAGGTATTAGAAAGATTTGGAAACAAAGACCCAAAATAGCTCTCCTTGACATTTCTCCTTCTCTCTGATGTATTGCTGCAAGATCAGCCATGAGTCTCACTTCACACGTTACCATAGAAGCAAAGGAACACCAAGATACAAGCCACTTATTATTTCTCCTTTCTGCACTCCTCTGCAGCACATGAACTAGTCTCAGCGCACTGCATTCAAAACTGTCCAGAGCATCTGCCGCCCACAACCAATATAAAGAAAATGAGATTCAAAGAGAACCCCTCACTGGGTAATAGTAAAGAATTTTAAAACTCTAGGTTGCAAACCCACACTGTTAAGTGGACAGGTCACTTTTCCAATTAGCATTACGTAAGTACACAGAATAGTTTGACAAAACTGATTTTTATGGTAGTTAGTTTTAGTTATTAAACCATTTATGCAACAACAAACTTTATTTATATCCCACCTCATCTCCCCATGGAGACTCAGGGCAGCTATCATTATGCAGATAATGGCATTCCCATTTTGGGGGATGCAATAAAGGAGTTCAAGGAATGAGTGCCTCATCATACACAGGCTATTTTCTGTTTTTAAATCCAGTTTTTCCAGCCTGTCTATGATGAAATCTGGATGTCTGAAGAAGTCTAAATTTCCCCTGCAGGTTTCAGAGGGGTAGAATGGATCTAAAGTTACATGGAAGTGACCTTCTTCTTTGTGGTCTCTGTGAATCATACAAATGGGAGACTAGCAAGCTACCATCCATAGGAGGTGGGTGTTGTGTCACACATGGAAAAAAAAATAGCCCTCCCAAACGTAGAGACCCTCTGAGACCAGTTTGTAATGTGATACAAAAATCAGTGATCTGGATCATGTAGTCTCCTTGCATACATCATGGACACCTTTGACAGGAGAAGAACTGGGGTAGAACTGGCAGTTTCAAGATGGTCAACAGAGCAACCATTTATCAGCTCCCTGGTCAACAATGGTCAAGAAACACTCAAGGCATGCTCACAGAGGAATATTTTGAGGCAAAACTTCCTGTTCTTCCAGGTGTGAGAAGTGAAGGAATGACAATGGTGGCTCATGTGCTTTCTCCAGGCAGAAAAGACATTTGGCACAACCATCTTTCTCAGGGATCTTTCCCTATGCTCTTCAAACATTTCTTGAAGAAAAGTGGTGGAGACCATAACATCAATAAAAGCCATAACCAAAGAGTAAGCAAAGGTTGGGGATTCTAACAAGAGACTAATCAAACAGATCACCCCTGAAGGTAACAGAAGAATGGAGAAAGGTCAACGAACTGTGTCCAAAGATCATAAACAGAAATAAGAATGCAATGAAAAGAAGTTTTTAGGTGCTGCTTTTACAGCAGATGAAAAGAAACTGGGAATTTAGTGGCACACTCATATATTGACATCAAAAGTGAATGAGGTTATCGCCAAAATGCTTCATTTTTGAAATGCTTCAAAAGAGCTCTAGAAGGTTCCAAATGGTCCTCTGCACATGCACAGGATAACCCATTTGTGTAATTCATAGAGACCATGAAGCTGCTCTAAATCACACAACACTATAAAATAACTATAAAGTTGAAACTTTACCAGACATAGTAACACATATGTCTTCCTACTCATACTATAATGTTATTAATGGAAATTTCTCTATATTTTAAAAAAGTATTGTTTCCAATTATAATGAAGGAAAAGAGACATAATTTAGCAAATTTAATCAGTGAGTATGCTGACCTCTCCTGTAGTTAAAACAACAGATTTCTTATCTTGTATTAAGGAAAATAGCCTACCAGTAACAGAATCAAGCAAAACAACCTGAAAGACATCTGGAATTTGCTCACATACCTGACCCACCAGCCCAAATGCGCGATCCATGCTCCTCTGGTCTGTGTACTTTCTTATTTTATTATGCAGCCATCCTAATTCGGCAAGTCGGCTTGTAGTATCTCTCAGAGACTTGGATGGGCTCACCTGAAGTATAACAAGAAAAATGCTGAATAATATGTAACACTTGGACTAAAAAGTACAGGCAGTCGTCAAGTTATGAAAAAGATAAATTCTGCATGTATTTGTTTGTTAGTCAGAACAGGTACTTTTTAAGGTGTAATTCTAGCCATATGTGTGTGTGTGTGTGTGTGGTATTTGTTTTGCTATCTATGCCCCTGTTCAGAAGATTTCACCTCACTTCTGTGAAAATTGGATTTTGAAAAAAAAAATGGCTTAGAGTAGAAGCAAAGATTGGTATAAAAGCTTCAGTTGAGACACCTTTGCCCCATGATAACTCTTTCAGGAGTGAATTTCCCTTCCTGGGGATAGAGTTCTCTCACTTCCCGTTGTCTCAATCCTGTTCTTAACTATGAGTTGTTTGTAAATCGGTTGTTTGTAACTCAGTGACTTCCAGTATAGCGTATAAATAATCTTCAATAAGTAAGCTGATAATCCAATTTTCTCAAGTGACCTGGAAAAGTGTTGGTTATTCAAGTTATTCAGTGTAATTCCAACACAATTTATCTTATTTAGCAAGATCCTCTAAGTCTCTGTGTAGCAGTTCAAGTGGAAATGAAGAGCGCGGGGAAATCTGCTCCCCCAGATCAGTTGCGTATGCCTGAAGGTTAGTAAACTAGAACATTGGTGCACAACCTCATTTGACAGTGGAGGAGACTTATATCAACAATAGCAGAGGACAGCTGGATCAGTACATCATCATTTCCACCTTTTCCCCAGAACACTGAAGGCGGTTTATTAATTAAAATCCCTGAATCTCACTTGATTTATGTGATGGGAAAACAGGAAGGGACGTGTCTTTACCTGCATGAATCTCAGAAACACTATGGACAGACAGAAGAAAGATGGATATAGGAAATCAAGCATTGAAGCCACGGAGGCTCAAAAAGAAGGGATGAAATGAGACATCATTCCTGTGCCTGCCTTTTATTCAACCAGGTGGAATTCCTTCTTACCTAGGGTGACTGTATAAATAATGAAATGAAATAGGATTTGTGAGTCTGTGTGTATGCTGACCTTTTTCTTTCTGATGTTATTCTCAGGAAGCATTTGCAAAAGGAACGTAACTCAGACTATAAAATTATAGCCTATAGTATAGACTACAAAATGTATTCTTCACTAAATCCAGAATCAGAAACATTATGGATTGTAGCTGCATGTTTCCAGCTATATAACCTAGTTGTAAAAAAAAACTGCATAGTACCTTCCCATCCACTTTGTAACAATTTTCTGAATTGGACATTTTAATGGTTTTTCCATCTATTCCCTGGAAGACGTATAAAATGTCCCTCACAAGGTATGCTTCAGTTACTTCAACAGAGCCTGCAAAGAAAAAAAGAATTAAGTTGCTTGCTGGATATTTAAGAGCCACATTTTTCACTTTAACAACATGAACCGTGAAAGCTTTCAACAATACATGAACCTAATCATTAGACATTTGCCATGCTGGGTTTAATGATGCTCACTCCATGACAGATATGCACAAGACTTCCGTTTGAAAGTCAGTTAGCAAAGCAGCATGACTCACATGAGAATAATTTACTATGTAAGTCTGAAACCAAATCAATAAGTTATATATAGTAGTATCTAAAGTTCTCAGATAATTCATATTGCTTGTAAGAAAATACACCACATGCTTATCTATACATACCAACTCTGTTTATTAATCACATGTAGTGTGCAAGTACTTGCGGTCCTCAAACTGGGATGCTTCCAAATACATATTGCTCAACTGGGACAACTCTCAACCCACCACAGCCAACATCCTCAAGAAAGAGAGTTCTTAGAGTGGTCTTCTCCCGAAGGTTTTTATGCCACTCATGGGGGATTTTACTGCATTTTCTAGGATAGACTCCTTTTTTTCAGACAGATTCAGTGCAGTCTTCTCATTTTTTTCCCCCACAAAAATTTGGGAATTTTTTTTGCCAAATTATTCTATACTGATCCTGACACGTTGATCAAAGACAGTCCTTAATTTTTCTGTTTGTTGTTTGCTTTCTTTTCTTTTTAGGGCATAGCTAATATTGTTTAAACTTTACAAGTGATAGCTTGGATACTATGATAAACTAAGTTAAGGAATGTTTCTCATCTCCTCATCTCACAGTCCTGAAAAACTTCATTAGGATTAGTATAAGAAGAAAGGAAATTGTTCAGCACCAAACTGAATCCAGCTCAATCTGAGGTTCCCTGCAGCTCCATAAAATAATGTACCATGAGACCATGGAAAACAAGGTTGCACACAACTCAGATTTCACTTGTTTTCATATTGTACCAATACTACAGCCATGAAGCAGGAGAGACACTTCATTATGGAACCACAATTCCAAATAACATAATCTCTATTGCAAAATAGCATTCCATTCTACAAAGCACTCTTCATTACATCATGAGCTCCAAATGCCTAAAACAAATTCTGTAATATCAAAGGAATTTGCATGGTTTAAATCCCAGCTCTTGATAGTGTGGATTTAAGAATCAAAATAACATCAGCTATTTGTTTCTATTTCCCTGAAGTCCCTGAAACAATCAATATTTATTAAATGCAAAAAGCCCATCTGTTTTCTTTATAAACAGTCTTTAATTTGCAATATGAATTTATTTAGTAGAAGCTACATAATATGATGTCAAGATACATCTGCTCCTTCTCTTACATCTGCCAGCCAGAATGAGTAAGTGTTTTTTACTGGCACAACATAGAAACAATCAATTAAGAAACGGAGACGGGTTTTTTCTATAGGCAATTTCTGCTCAAGGTTTTCTCCACTTCAAAATATATCCGTAGCACCTTACCATCATCTGGGTTTTAATGATGATGATGATGCCTAAAAATAAAGGAATCTCATTACACTATCAAACTGTGGAAAGGCATCAAAATGTTTTATATGTGACAGTTTATCTTGAAGGTTATTGAGAAAACAGTATTTTATAGGGTTATTCACAAGCAGTTTTATGAGATAAACTTTGCTTCTAAATGAACAATGCATCAACAATACTATTTATGCAAGAATGGGCTATGATGGGAGTCTCCGTGGAGCAACACAGATATATGATCTATTCTGTCTGTCCACTTTTACTGCAGTTATTTTACACTAGGCACCTTCAACAGTTGCTCTTAAATCTCCTGAACCGTTTAACTGACACAAATTCAAAGAAGTAGAATTCAAAGAAAACTCAGTGGAATTTTGATTTCCTTTTAAGCTCATAATCACATGATTTATCAGAGTCAGTTTTTGAAAGGCCTCTCAACATTAACACCAAAAACTATTTCAGACTATGGAATGACCTGATGGAAGAGATCCGACAGCTAAATGAGCAGTCGGAATTTCTTCTGGCAGGCCTGCCCAGTCAGTTTCAACTATGACTTTTTAATCACATCATTGTATGTTAACGTTTGTCTCAGATATTTCAATATATGTTTTAATATATGCTTTTATGGTTGCATTTTACCTATGTTTTAATATGTGATTTTATAGATGTATTTAACTGTGGGTGAAATGGGTTGTATGTATCTTTGAATTCACATTCACTGGTCTGCAAATGAATTACAGAAGCAAATTATGATCTGAGAAATTAAAACGATATTACACTTCAGACCTAAACTAGAGCTGACACCCTGTTATATGTACCTTCCAACTACTACTCTTTTGGTAGGAAATGCTTCCATTGAGCTGGTTGTTACATTCACAAGGAAAAGGGATTCTTTGAAAGTGTCTCTCCTCCACTCAAGCCAGCACTTTAGGGCTCCAATTCTTAAACAGATTAATTGGGACTAAGCCTCATAAGACACAAGGAGACTTGCTTCCAAATCAATAGATATAATGTTGCACTCTTTTTCGAACAGACAACACTGAAGTTAATAATCTGAATTGTCCATAGTTTGCCTATGTTAATCTCTCTGGTTATTATATCAGCTAATATCAAAATGAAAACTGAAAGTTCTGATTTCATGGTTTATTCCTATGAAAAGTAGGCAGTCTTAATTTAAACTGTAATTCAGCAGGAAGCACTGTGATGAAAGATTGCAGGGTGCACTCAATGAAAAGCTCACCACTTATATCCCCTTCTCGCCTTGACCTTGGCAGATTACGTGAAACAGTGGTTGAAAGGCCTTTTGAGGTAGCATTCTGTAGCGTGGGCTGGCCTGCTGTTAAAGTCCAAGCAAGCCGTGCCCCCAACTGTTGTCGAAGACAATCTCCCACTCCTGGACGCTGATAGGATTGTCTTAAGAAAAGAAAAGCTACTATTAATATGATCAGGTGCTAAATTATCTCAGTTACGACAGATCAGTTTGATTACTGGAAAATGACCAAATTGCAGGGGACAAATAAGTGCCAGCTCTACAAATCAGTAGATGCAGAAAGTGTGGCTATCAATTCGAACGTGGAACATTACTTTTTTGGACTGCCTCTTCTGAAACTTTGAGCTATAGCTCCCATAACACCCCTATTTAGTCAAACCCATCCAGGTTGGAGGCATGCTGGGAGTTGTTGGTCTGAAAAACTAACTAATCCAAGGTCTTCACCTATTTTTAAAGAAATTGTTTAGAAGTCAAGTGTTTCTTAAACTCTCCACGGTTATAAACAAAAACCTAATAAGATTGTAACAAAGGATATAAAAGCACATTCCAATTTCCTGCCAGAATCCATCAAACTCTAATTACTCTGTTCCTCATTTCTAGCACTAAATCTGGCTTGCAAACACAAGTCATTTATTAAGGGATAGTTGATATATAAATAATTCATGAGCAAAAACTAACAACTTGTGTCAAAAAATTTTAAGCATTTCTCTTTGCAGGAGGGAGGCCATGTCTGCTTCCTGTATATGAAGGCCATAGCCATGACCACTAAATTCTAGGTGCAAGCCCTGAGAAAAAGCTGAGCAGACATTTCCTACAGTGTATTAAATGCAGTTACAACGAACAGATTCTTCTCACTTCTTATATTCTTCAGCATCCTATTTTTATAAAACAAAAATTAAATGACATCACCGTCCTTTAATGACTGAGATTTCAGATGTCTTTTGAGAGACACCACACTTAATATTTTCACAAGCACACAGCACTAATAGATCTTCATTGAAATACAATTCCAGAAATGTCATTACAAAACAAGCAGTCCTGCTCGCACAAGCAGGGTTTTTACAAGCAGGGTTCTCATAGGTTAGAACAGGGCTTCTTAACTTTTTTCCAGTTCTGACCCCTTTCAGCCCAAGACATTTTATATAAAATAGGCATAAAAATCAAACATTTACAGTTAACAAATAGCATTTGGAATGCCTGCTAAACAGGCTGATTTTCCCTTTTATGAAGTACAGATGAAACATATTCTGCAAAATCCACTGTAAACACTTATTGTTTTATTATGGTTTTATCTTTTTATGAGTTCCTGATTGAAAGATTTTATTGACTGGTATACTGTTACTGTAAGCCACCTTGGGTCCATGCCACGGAGAAAGGCAGGGTAGAAATATCCCAAATAAATGAATAAATAACATGTTTAACTTCACTTATCCTCGGTAAAAAGTACTGAAACGCACATTATTTCAAGAACACTATCAACTTCTAGTTCAGAAAGGCTGTAAGAAACTGTTATCTCATGTTCTCTTGAAAACAATTCTATTGTGGTTCAGCAAATAAAGAGGCTGGGTCCAGACTGTACGAGAGAAGAAAGGCACTTATGGGAATAATGGATAGAGGCACAAGGGAGGTCCTCTACTATAGTTCATTCCTTTTGGCGTATAGATATAGAGAGAAGGGAGAGAGTTTTTTAAGCAATGGTGCCATCTATGGCATGCTTTTCCTAGGCAGGTTAATCTGGCGCTTCATTTAATGTTTCCTCAGCTCTGAGCACAGATTGGGTTTCTTATGTTTTTGACTTAATTTTTAAATAATTCTAGCTCCTTCCTTCAAAGCTTTTAAACAGAGGCTGGATGGCCATCTGTTAGGGACACTTTGATTGTGCTTTTCCTGCATAGCAGGGGGTTGGACTAGATGGCCCATGTGGTCTCTTCCAACTCTATTATTCTATGATTTTATGAATTGTTTGAAAAGTTTTTACTGTCTTGCTGCTCTCACTTTTTACTTGTGTAACTGATTTTATTTTAACTGACATCTCTGTACAAGTTGAAACATGGGAGGGCAGAATATAAGTAATTGGAAACGATTACATCAAATTGGCCAGTGGGTCCATGCTGTGATGACAGCTACATTCTATAATAGATTGGATTCTTTGGATAGCAACTCTTCACAGTTACTACAGTTGTTATTTGCTGAAGCAAATCTCTTTGAACAGTTATCGGTCAAGATGAGCAAGTTTCACTTACCCTGGAAGAAATGACTGTGGCGTTGGTGTTGGCCCATTTGGGACATACATGCCTAGGCTGCTGATCCCACTGCTGCCCATACTGCCGCAATTCGGGCCTGGCTGGGCATTCCGGTCCTGGTAATTCAAAGGAAGGCTCTGAGGCCTGGCATAGTAATAAGGAGTTGAGTGAGCATCCCGAGGCAGTGCTTGAGCAAACAGGGTAGCAAAATTAGATACCTTGACAGGGAACGGGAAAAACAATAGTTAGGAAAAAATGTCCATCTCCATCAATTAACTCTAATTTATTCCTCTTCTGGCATTTGTTGCATTGTACTTACCCTGTATCTGTAATTATTTACAATTAGCAAAATACAGAATTCACATTAATTTTTTCAGGCCTGGCAAGCATATTGCCAAAGCCTGGAAGGGCTACTTTCTGCACTACAAATCCCAGAATCCCCCAGATACAGGCCATAATTCTTCCAAACTCTGGGTATTTCAAACCCAGAGTTTGGAAGAATTTGGTACATAGTTCAATTTCCAATCTTCCAACTTCGTAGCAGAAAAAGACTGAAATATAATTCTTATTTTCATTTTGAATAGATGTACTGAATCAGTTTCTGAAGTCAGAAACTGTAAATCCCCCAATCTCTGCAATATATGTGGGAAAATGAGAAAGAACTATAGCAATCTGCCTGCTAGCATAGATCATTACATTTTTTCTCTAGAATGCTCTCTTTAGAGGTACCAAGTGCTGAATTTACTGCCTTATTTATTTACCTTGTCATTTAAAAACATTTTCTCTAACTTAAGTATTTTAAATTTCCAACTTTTGATTTCAGTTTTGTCTCCTTGTTGCTGTGTGTTTAATTTTGTTTTAAGATTTAAGGGTGGCCCTAAAATCACTGATTATACTGATATTTCAAATGAATAGTGGCCAAAACCAAACATGCTTTCAGTGCTGCATAAAAACCATCCGAGCAGCATTACACCGGATAACATAGTTGTGCAACTTAACTGGACAATAGATGTCAAGGCCATCGAACTGTTCTCTATCTAATACATCTGAAGTTAGAAAGGAGGCGGTATCTCTGGCTGCACTGCACTTACACTACTATCAAAAAGTGCTTCCACACATGAAATGATTTTTATGCCACCACACTGGCCCAAGGGGATTCCAGCCACAATATTACTTACCTTGTTTGACTGCTTACGTGGATCTTCACTGAGGCTGAGCAGGAGGTAGAGGATTGACCATCTGTTTTTCAAAACACCCTGATCAAAAAGAGATGAATATTAGAAATATCACCCAGGCCTGCAAATGAACTTTAGTCTTATTGATCTATGAACAAGCACCATTGATCTTACAACAGGGTAAACAGGAGACATACAAGGAAGAAAAACCCAGCCCTGTGCTAATTAAAGTGTACTGGCTCAGGTCCATAAATCATTAGCTCATGGAGATTTTCCAAGAAAAGCATAAATGACTGTAGTAAATGGGCACAAGTATGGTATCCTGATACTTTTGGGAGGGTGCCTGTTGCAAAGCTGGGCAAGCCTAGCTAAAGGCAGCCAATCACAGTTCTAGGAATGATGGGAGGGGGTGTCACTCAGAGGCCAAATGGAGAAACACTGGCTTGGAGATTTTTTTTTCGTGTCAGGAGCGACTTGAGAAACTGCAAAAAGGAGGACCAGATTCTGATTTTGAGAAGCTGTAAATGAATACAATGTTCAAGGGCTAAAGTGCAGTCTTAATAAACTTCCACTTTTTGGTTGTTTGGACTCTCGCTATGTATATCAAACCTGCTAAAGTCAGGTAATGCTCACCAAAACAAATCTACCAAACCAACACCTCCAGTGATCCACACAGGGGTCACTCAGAAGCCCACATACTTAGCCCGGAAAGTGATAAAGTGGGGGGAAAGGTGACTGAAGAGAGAAGAGTGATTGGAACTGTATGGTCAGCAGGGGAAAAGAATATCATGCTGTCAGTTCCCACATCCGATAGCTTAAGAAGCACTGAGCCAACCAACCGCAGGGGCCAGATGATGTTCAGCCTGCATCATTCTTGCAATAAAGGAAGCAATTCCTCAGCCAGCTGCATGATGCATAGCAGAGAGCTGTGGGCCCACATGAGTAACAACAGCATATACAGAATATTACCAGGTCAATTACTGTTTACCTCTCTTTTGTGCACAGGGCTCCCTTTATATTCTTGTGGAGTTTTTATATTCTTTTCCTTAAGGGAAGTACCCAGCCTGCCTCTTAAATTCTTTGAATCCCCTCAATAACCTGGTTGCCCCTGTTCTACTTGAGTGGAATTCAAGTGTACGGGTGGACTCCATTCATTGTGCTCTTTCAATAAAGAGCCCATCATAACCACATAAGTCAGCACTGCTACAAAGGAAAGAATGATTCCTACTCACTTAATGTATTCTTAAGAATATAGTTCTAGATTCCTTAAAGTCTCAAATACACTATTTCATCTACTAAGATCTGCAGATATGAGGCAAAACTGATTTGAAGCTTAACAAAAAGACTGATAATTTACCATATTATGGCACACTACTTGATTCTGAGCTGTGGTATTTAAGGAGCTATTCTAGTACTATTAAAGTTGGAAAGTTATTGACCTTACTTCTCTAGTGAAGGAGGGAGCAACACTACAATGGCAAAGATTAATTTGTTTTCTTGCAATACATGAAAGCATGAACTTTGAGAAACTTCACCCTCAAAAATCACTCATAATCTTTCGATTAACAAGTGTCTTGCCACAACCTTCAAGTACAAAAGAGAGACGAACAAGATCACTCAAGAGGCCCAAAGAGTGCTTCATCAATAAATCAATACACATTATCTTAAAAATAGATAGTGGTGAGGTAAGTTAAACATAAAAAATAAAGCACTTTTGTGCTGATCTGTGTCCTTCCTATAAAAAGTCATTTAAAAACAAAAATACTGTGCGTGTGTGTGTCACTATTTGGCTGATACTATTCTGCAGGTCAGGAGACTGGCACTGTAGTAAACAAATCCTATTTCCAGAAACCAAGGATAACTAAACTACACAAAGGATAGTCACTAAACATTAACCAACACTGTACTACTTACTCATTGAGCTTATACAAAATTAATTTCTGTACCTGTGGATGCAGTTTTCTGTAGAGTTCTGAAAATACAGCAGCACTTTCTTCCCTTCCTTGCCGCACAACTAAAGAAAGAGAGAGACTTTATTAGGCCTATTATGTACAATAATAACATTTCAGTCAAGCTTTATTAAACTCAGTACAGATGTTTGATTCTATGAGTTTGTTGAAGGCAAGTGATATCAGTGCTTGTTCCATCACTACAAAAATTAATTTTAACATTCCCAGCTTCTTCCTTGCTTTAAAGCAGAGCTTTCCAAACTGTAGGCATCACATGAACATAACATGAAACCTCTGAGTTTATGTAAAAGAAGCAATACATTATATTTTTCTTAAAATATAAATGAAAGGTCTTCATGTAATATGTTGATTCTCCATACATTTTCTTATTACAATATACATATGTGTTCACATCTGTTATAAGGGGTTGGTTTAACTTCAACTTTGCTATGAACAATGAATTACTGTGTCACAAAAGGATGCATGTCTAAAAAGTGTCTTGCCAACATGAAATGTCTGAAAATGTTGGAAAGCTCTGATTTAAAGAAAGAGCAATAGTATGTAACATTTGCAGGGGTAAGGAAAAGGCTTTACATGCCCCTTCATCATTTCTGCGCCCTCCCACATAATCCCCCAATTTTGTTTTTCCCAAAATGGCCCCTATGAAGTCTTCTGCCCAATTTTTGACATCTTCACACCTTCACACTTTAAATTTTCACACTGTAAAATTTAAATTAATTTTTTAAATAAAATAGTCAAATGGGTCTGAAACAGACCAGATAGAAGAAATGGTGTAAAATAGCAAATCATTTCACTTGAAGATTGGCACCTGGAACCCAAAAAAGCAGGAGTCAGGTGGCCACAGTTTGGTCCCTGAGAAGTACATAGTGTCCAAAATTTGCCCAGATGAGCAGTATGAACCAATGTATTAAACATACATATTTAGCTGTTTCCAAGTACCAGCATGTTGCTCCTATCGTATAAACCCAAATACTTATGGATACTCTGATTTGTTTTGCTAAGACCATTAACTTTCTTTCAGCTTCCTGTGTCAAACAAATTTCCTGGAAACTTCAATTTTATGCAGAAAAAGTGTGGCATGGCAAACTTGCCTACAACTCTTATCACAAATACACACAAGAAGGAGATTTTGTCTACAGAACTAAGGTGTGCATTTGCAAAACAATAAGCAAGGATTGCTGAGAACCCGGCCTAGCAGCAATAAGAAAGTGTGCTCAGGCACACTGCATGATTCCACTCACTTGTCCCCTCTTAAAAGCAACAACAGTTAGAGCAACCAATAGAAAATTTGGTGTTGTTTACAGACTCCTGACTAACTGCTCCTGTAACAAGTCAGAGTCTGAAGCCAGAATTTATAGGACCATGTTATTATACTAACATGTCAGGGTTGAAGGAAATACTGAGTTTCCAGTTACTGTTAAATTCCTGATTACTTTTGGGTGATCTTGCAGCAGATCTGGAAAACATCATTTTGTTTTAAAGTTCTCAACTACAAATATTCCCAGAGTAGTCCTAGATGCAGAAATACCGTATTCTAATACACACCTCATTTTTTACTACATTACATTTAAATTACATTTGAATAAATATGGTACTTGTCCATGTGCACTTCTAAGCACATAATAACAAATATTTGGGAAAATGTACTTGTTTTTGGATTATAGTAGCAAAAATCCTAACCTAAGAAATCCTGGGAGCCATTGTTCAGTGGTAACCTATCCAAACTATGCAGCATATCCATCCATGGGTTCTTTACTGGGCTTAACATCCTAATCCTATATATGTTTACAGGAAAGTAAACCCAGAATGACTTTTTAAAAGTAAATATGCACAACTTCAAAGTGTTAAGAGGTAAAACCAGAAAGTATATCAGCAACTACTGATTTTTGTATGTTTTCAACATACTCTACAAAATCATATGACTTGATGTTTCCATGACTATCACCAGTATTTCCTTGTCTCCAGTGAATAAATAAATTCCCAAAATATGTGATGGCCCAAAGCCAACTGTTAGTCCTCACTAAAGTAGGACCATTGAATCAAGCATCAAATGGTAACTCAACAATTGCATCAATCGCATTAGTTGGGACTCACGAAACAGATTTAATCCTGTGCCCAGAAGAATTTAACTACTTTTCCTTTCACAGTATTAAATGTCAGAGGAAAAATAATTTTCATATGTGTTAATATTTTTCACAGGAAGAGGTATCAAGAGCATGAACTGAAAACATTGCAAAAACCAATGCCTACCAAAACCTGTAATTTGCAGAAGCCAGTTCTAATGACAACTAAATGTCCACTTTCTGAAATTAAACTTCCAGTACGTGTGAAAAAGATCTTGGAGTCCTCGTGGACAACAAGTTAAACATGAGCCAACAATGTGATGTGGCCGCAAAAAAAGCCAATGGGATTTTGGCCTGCATCAATAGGAGCATAGTGTCTAGATCTAAGGAAGTAATGCTACCCCTCTATTCTGCTTTGGTTAGACCACATCTGGAATATTGTGTCCAATTCTGGGCAACACAATTCAAGAGAGATATTGACAAGCTGGAATGTGTCCAGAGGAGGGCGACTAAAATGATCAAGGGTCTGGAGAACAAGCCCTATGAGGAGCGGCTTAGGGAACTGGGCATGTTTAGCCTGCAGAAGAGAAGGCTGAGAGGAGATATGATAGCCATGTATAAATATGTGAGAGGAAGCCACAGGAGGAGGGAGCAAGCTTGTTTTCTGCTTCCTTGGAGACTAGGACGCGGAACAATGGCTTCAAACTACAAGAGAGGAGATTCCATCTGAACATGAGGAAGAACTTCCTGACTGTGAGAGCCGTTCAGCAGTGGAACTCTCTCCCCGGAGTGTGGTGGAGGCTCCTTCTTTGGAAGCTTTTAAACAGAGGCTGGATGGCCATCTGTCAGGGGTGATTTGAGTGCAATATTCCTGCTTCTTGGCAGGGGTTTGGACTGGATGGCCCATGAGGTCTCTTCCAACTCTTTGATTCTATGATTCTATGATTCTATGATTACTCTGCACATATATTTTGCCAGTTTCCACAATGGATTCCATTTTGCTACCTGCCAAATCAGGTTCACAATGAAATGAAGTCAACCCTGTTGTACAAAAGGCTGTTGGGAAAAGATATTTTTAAAATGTTTGTGTATTATACATGTGTTGCACACACCTCTTCAATACAATTGACAACAACTGTTCTTCCCATAGAGAAATACCAGATGAGGAGAAAGAGAAGAAATTCCAGTTCAGACCACATTGGATATGAAAATACATCCTTGCATCTTGTCTCTTATCACAAAACATATAACATTGCACATGGCGTACTGTAAAGGCAGATATTTTGAACTAATGAATACTAAAGCAGGTCTGCTGTGCCATAATGAGCACATTATTGCAAATATCAGCTATCATATAACCAGCATTTTAAAAAAGATTAGATGGAAATGTTAAAAATAAGGCACTTACGTTCTTTTTTTATTTTTTCAGCTACAAGAAATTCATCTCTTTCCACAGTAGGAGCAAAATTGCTTCCAATGACTCGCACTGCATACTGAAACTGCTGAGCAACATCAGCTGAAATAAAAATTAACATAAATTAACATTATTTGTAAGTCATTGCTAACATTACAGGATGATTCCCATATGTTCCAAAAAGCCCTCTGATACCTGAAACCACAGATAATATTGAATATATGTGTAAGTAAAAGGAACAAAGATATATGTACACCTCGAAAATCTGGTTAAATCCAGGCATGCAAAAATCTTTGATAGATTTTAGAAGTGTGTAAAATCTATCAAAGATTCATTGTTCCGAGGCCCTGCTCCAGCTCCAGGCCTTAACTTAGGAAGGGGAAACAAGTAACAGACTGGCAGCACAGGAGAAAGTAGGGACACAGTGTTGACTTCACTGAGACTTCTAAAATTTGAATAAAAGACAAAAATTCCCAGGTGCAAATGGCAGCGAACAGTGTAACCTCAAATTTAAGTTGGAGCTAGTCAAAAGGGGGATGAATCTACTTCATACTGTAGTTGCTCTAACTTTAGTGGAAGTGCTCACATTTTCAGGCCTCCCTCATTCAAATCATCACCTCATTTCTGGCACTATTCCTTGGGATGTCAAAATGTGCTGACAAGATGAAGCTGGATTAAACAAAACAAAAAAACAGTCCTTTTTAATCTGCCAGCTAGAAAGACTCCAATTCATATCTTGATCATGATCATCTCCTATAGAGATTCACAACATCTTCACCAAGACACAAATATTACTGAGCTTTCCTAATCCCTGCCTCCTACCCTGATAAGAGTCCAAAGATCTGTGAAGACATGCAGTCATCAACTACAGAATATTACCCCAAATTAATCAGTTTTCACAAAGATTTGTTATTTTGCCAAGTATGTGTTTAGAAGCTAAGCAGGATCAGCCCTGGTTATACCTGGGTGGGAGACTGCCAATGAATACCAGATTCTGTAGACTATATTTCAGAGGATGGAACTGGCAAAACCACCTCTGATGTTCTTCGTCTAAGTAAACCATCTGAAATTAATGATTTTTTATTTATTGTGTCAGAAGCAAATTGAGGGTACAGTTGTAATGAATTTAGAAACACAAATAAAGTTAAAAACTTGGCATATGAGAGACATGAGAGAAGCCTCCCTGTAGGATTGTTAACACATCCAGGCATCTCTTGCGCAATGTCTTTGTAGACAGCTGATTCTCTCACACCAGAAGCAACTTGAAGCATGCAACCAATTCACATAACCCAACAGATAGCTAAAAGGTGCACATACATACACTCAAAGATGAACTATATGAGGTCCAGAAAACATATTCACTATTACGTTTGACCTCCATAATCACAACTTCCATCCTTTTTAACTTTTTCAAATACATTTATTCAAAACCTCCTCCCACACCCTCTGAGGAAAACATGTTCCACCGGTGTAGGTTTAGACCAAAGAGAAGTCCTTTTAAACCAGGAGGTCATCTCAAAAGGATCAGAGCAGTATTTTGAGTTTAAGAAATAGCTGAACAGTGAGAGTCCCAAAAAATAGCCTTGCTCAAAAGCTCACATGCCTTTGAAGAGTGGTTTTAGGTTCGTATCTCCTCAAAATATCGGTACAAATGTTTTAACTATAGGGTTCTTGATTTAAACTACATTTGAAATCTCTCACCATTGCAATGTTTCTATTCTAATATTTGGAGATATAAATGCACCATTACAAATGTTGCTGGGAAATACCTCTTTGACACCTTGGCCACTATCCTGTGGTGTCCCTCAAGACTCAGTTCTGTTAAATATTTACATGCAAATGCTGGGAGACATCATCCAGAATTTGAATTTCAATACAGATACAATTCTATCTCTCCTTTCTATCCAATTCCAAGGCAGCGGCAGCTGAATAAAACTAGTGTATGCTGTCAAAGACTACATGGGATTGAACAAATTGAGGCTTAATCTAAGCAAGACAGAGGTGCTGCTGGTCATCAAAAGTCAGACCAGGGAACAGAAATTCAGCCTGTGTTGGATGGTATAGTATTTCCCCTAAACTGTCAAATTTACAGCTTGGTTGTGTTCCTGGGCTCGGATCTGAGTTTGGATGCTCAGGTTTCAGCTATAGCCAGGAATGCACTTGCAAAGCTAAAACTAATGAAGCAGCTGGATGTGTTCCTTGAGAAGTCAGACGTGGTTTGGGTGACAAATCTCATTTGGACTACTGTAATGTGCTCTATACGTTCTCGATATACGTGTTCTATAGTTCTACATTTTTAACTAGATATCTTAACTATTTTTATCCTACCATGAGCTTTGAGGAGAGGCAGGTAAGAAATAAAATGGATGATGATGATATGGAGCTGTATTTGGAAATTGTTTGAAAATTTCAGTGGATCCAAAATGTTATGGCCAGATAGAAGGATCATGTGACTTCCCTGCTGAAAAAGCTCCACTGACCAACAGACTGGCAAACTGCAAGGTAAATTCAGAGTATCTGAAACACCGCATTTGCTAATGTAAGCCAGTGTGAGCTTTAAGATCTGCAAGGGAGGACTTTATTTCCATTCCACTATCTTCACAGGTGCTATTGAAGGGGATTCAGAAGAAAGCCTTCTCATGGCTGCTCTCAGGAACTCTTTTCCATGGGAGATTCTTTTGGTCCTCTCCCTGCGTTCTTTCCACCAGCAGGTTAAGATGTTTTCATTCAGACAAGCTTTTGAATGTTAATTATGGAGGAGCAGTGTGCCTGCAAAGTGCTGTGCTCTATATTTAGTTTGTTTGTTTTTTTAAAAAAACGAAGCCATGATTTAAATATGTTTAAAAGATAAAGTATAAATTCAAAAGCTAACTAAATAAAATGGGATCAGCAAGAAAGAGTTGCAGCGCTGAGTTGGTTCTCTCCTGTATAGGATCCCAGTGGCTCCATTCCACCTCTCTGCCCTTGCTACTGAAATCACTCAGTATGATGTACTGCACTCAGTGAGCACATTCGCTCCCCCAGGGGCTGTTTGTTGGATTCCCCCACCCTCACCTTTTTTTAAAGTATCCTTCTATTACCTCCCTCTTCTGCATGTAAAGTACTACTTTGGTTATATAAACAACAGTATGCAGAAAAGTGAGAAAGCTTTTTAAATATATGATGTTCTGTTCTGGTAACTCTCTCAAGCATCTTCTGTACCCTCTCCTTGAGATAGAGTGAAGGGGACATAGCTCAACAAATGATATTCCTAAAGTATGGGTTTAAAAGGAAGAAAGAAGTAAATATTATTTGAGCCACTGCATCATTTTATCTTATATAAACACTGAGATGAGAACTTTTTCTCTTCACCCAACCACATCTGCTCTCTGTTTCTCCTCTAAACCTCATTCTACATTTAGCAGAACGAGGTCAGAAAAACAGAAGACTGCTGGGCAACTGTTTTTCCACCAAGATGAATGTCAAATTATTTTGTCACAAGCAGTAGGAAGACAGTAGGTTGCTGTGAGTTTTCCAGGTGTATGGCCATGTTCCATACAGCCTGGAAAACTAACAGCAACCCCATGATTCTGGCCATGAAAGACTTTGACAACACAGTGGGAAGACATTTTGCAAACTAACATCTCAGGAAAAAACTTCCATCTTGCAGGTCCTACACAGAAAGAAGCCACCTGAAGATCTACTCCTTATGATCCGTGGTTGCACAGAGTTAAACTAGTTACTTTAGCTTCCAGAGATACGTTTCCTCAACTGTAATTTACTTTCAGTCTCATTACTTCACATTACTTATGTAGAAATCCTGTCAAATTAGAATCTGCCCTTCCCCAAATTCATCCAGAAGCCTGGTTTTATTTATTTCACCTTAGGTGATAGATAACCTGAAATATATAACCTGCTGGGAAACTCTCATTAAACTGAGAGCTGCTCCCCATAATTGTGAGACCAATGCAGAGTCCGTAAATGAGATATTCCCAAAATAATAAAGCTCAGTACAAATCAACAATACATTTACCTACCTGCTATTAGATTTCAGCACCCCCCAAAATAACTATGAAAATGTTAATACTGTAACCATTGTGTCATATTTGGGTGTCCAAGTAGAAACTATAAATGAATAGCTTTAAAGAAGAATTCTAAAGACCATTCCAATCTCACACGGCCTAAGAAAGCACCAAACATTGTCAATTTAACAAACTGGAGCAAATTTGAGTACTTTAGATTAAATATATTTTTCTGTTAGCTGTTCACAGAACCAGGTTTCTTTAACATTCAGTGGGAACTGACCTTTATCACACATTTTTCAATAAACATTCTCTGCCCACCATCTCTGTTAAATTCACCAGTGGTATTTCTACTTCTAACTTCTGTGCTCAGCATACATATTTCAAAGAGTAGAAAGAACTCTGAACAAATCCCCTGTGAAAATGTAGAAAAACTATTAGAAGCCAGAGTACAGAACATTAAAATGGAAAAGATCCAAAAAAACAAAAAATGATAGTTTCACAGCAAGTGTGTTTTCTAGAAATGTCTAAAAAAATGGAAATAATTTGTAGTTTCATTTTATTAAGGAATTACCTCTCTATTAAAGCTACTGGTAGTCACTAAGTGACATTTGCATTTAAGACTATAATTACTATTTACTAAAAAGATTTTAAGAGTCTAGGGAAAGAACTGGCTTTTGAGTTAAGGAAGCCAATTTCCAGTAGCCCCAAGCATATGCTATGTTATCTTCAAAGGCTTGCAGAAGGGTTAATTATATATGCAAAAGCTCATTCTTATCATGAAGCTACTACAATTCAAGTGTGCTTTGGGTAATAAAGCCCCTAGTATTCACTATTTTACCGAGATATTTTAAAATACTATTATCTGTCCCAGACTTTGAGCTTGAGTTGACTGCTAAATTATCTTCCTCACTGTTTTTCCTTTGCTTCCCTTGCTCCCATTATTTCTATTCAGCACTCAGCTACCAAGCTGTAGTTGTGCAATGGGTTAAACCCTTGTGTTGGTTGAACTGCTGATAAGCTCCCGTCTGTCATCCCAGCTTCCCATGCGGGGACATAAGAGAAGCCTCCCACACGATGGTAACACATCCGGGCATCCCC